CTCCCGTGAGCTTGATGAAAAAGTAGAAAAACAGCAGTGTGGTATATTGTCTGAACCCTATGCTTAGTACAGTTGGCTGTCTGAGCCTTTAGAGCCTATAAAAAGCTTCCATTATAATGTGGTCACATGCTGTTGCAAGGACTCGCTTCCTTATGTGTTTTTTATTATTATTATGGCATTCTTATTGCTTGGGCTTAAATATTCATACTCTCTTGTTAATAAAATAATGAAACTGGAAGGGCTCTTGTGCCCTGTAGTTTTGGAGGTGACCAAGTCTATTAAAGTGGCACTGGGGCAGGATTACATGAAGAATCCGGCTGTGTGGGTATTTATAACCTGCTCTAACAAAATAATATGCTGTGAAATTGGATTTCTACATTTTTTGAGGCAGTATTACCAGTTGTCCCAGTTTTAACTTGGCTCTTTACTCACAATGTCATCAGCCAAACTATAAAGTACTAAATTTCATTGTGATTGAACTTCGGGAGTGAATGTACAATGGGCTTTTTCCAAACCAACATTTCTAGTTGCACATATATTTGGTCCAACCTAACATGCCTTTAACTGGCAAATGGCACTGAGTTTGTGCTAATTACCTGCTGATTCTCAACCTGCCGTTCTGGTCCCACACTGTGCTCGTGCATGCATGCATACACCCACTTCTGCAGGGGTTCCTTTACTAGTTCTGCTGTCTTTTACATATATCTTTTCCATCCATTCTATCCATTGTATGATTTTTGCATCTAAATTGGTTCAGTTGAGTGCCTCAGGCTTTGTTTGACACCTGCAGCTAGAGAGACCCCATAGGGAGACAAGATGATGCCAATTGAGCTATGGTGCAAGGTTACGGTGTGATGTTCAACCAGTGATCACGCTCAGCATACCACAAATTCCTGAACCTCCTCTGACCAACTTTGAATGGTCTCATACCCATTTGATACTCAATAGAAGCATAAAACAAAGCAATCATGTCATGACATCACTGCATTTATATGCTCTAAATGGTGATCTATTTACTGCTACCAGATTATTAAGAGATAATAATGCAAATAGGATGCTAATTATAGTGGCAGTAAAAAAAGTAAAAAAGTGTTAATATAAAGAGTAGTTTGTATTATCATGCCTTTTCTTAAAAGCTTCAAGGGATGGTTTCATTTAATTTGATAGTGGCATATCCTTGTCATCATAAGCATACAATAAGCAAACAGCTAGCATCAGATTCTGATTATTATTATCTAAAGCTAAGACTGGAACGTGGATTCCTGCCAACTACAAACCAGTTTGAAGAGCACAAACAAAACACAAATGCAGAAATCTTGCACGTGAAATAAACATGTCGACACCTTATTGCTTATAGTAAGAAGCTGAGCTTTTCAGGACCTCTAAAGAAGGGTGGCTGGTGCACACCAAAGCCTTCAACATGCTTGAGATGTTATCAAGCCTGTGAAATGCAGTCCTGTGTATTTTTCTCCCTTGCCATCCAATAATACCCTCCACCAAAGTGTTTTTCAGTGTTCAGGCTTGATGGAGACTCGAGCATCTCAGGGGAAGTTGGTATGCATTGATTTATGATAATTAATAATGTAAGTGATGTCACAAGAGGGTGGTCTAATGGCTTTTGGCTGGAGTCGTCCCCTGGGTGCAGTGTCTCTGGGAAGCTAGAGTGTAAATATGGTAAGTGTTCCATAGACCCCCTCTGTTGTATGGGTTGTAAAAATATTGTAATTTGATTGAGCTGATATTCTTGTTTCTACAGTGATTTCATAAATTAATACAGCTAATGAGAACATTCTGTTACAAAAAACTGGATAATCTGATTTAGTCTGGTTCAAGTCATATTTTTTTTCTTTGACAACAGCCAGAATGGATTGCTGAACAGATTGTGTTATTACATTCAGTACATCTGTGCAGATATTACCTAAGCATTCTCCTCAAAGTCCCGCATGAGTGTGTCCCAACCTTGTTTGCTGTTAGGGGTCCCTGTGTAAACAGTTTTCCCAATACAATTGTACTCATCACTGTGTCAGGCCAGGACAGGCAAAAGTCCCAGAATCAGTCAATAAACTTAGCAGACTTCATTCACTTACATTCAGTGTTAAGTGTCACCTAAATGCATTGTGTGTATCTTCTTTTAAAGCTACTTTTAAATATATATCCAGCTGTGACTGGATGGGGACCCACTCGTAGAAACGCATCTCATTCTGCTACTAGTCGTAGTGATTTTCCTCAAAGTATGAAGTTGAAATTAATTTCAGTTCAACCATTTATGAAATCATTCACTGATTTATTGATTATTTGACCAAAAGCTATACTAAACTACTTTGATAATCAATTAACATATAAGTAATTTATCAAGAAAAAATGCCATCAGAAATTACATTTCTTTAGGTGCTGGACTGGACATTTGAAGAAGTCAACTCGGGCTCTTGAAACTTAAGATGTGCATTTTTCATCAAGATAAATGCAGCTGTTGGTGAAACTTTAATTTATCCGTTTTTTCCCTCATTAACTTTTATTCATCTATCGTGCACTCTGTCCTCCCAGATGTCTGATAGCCCGGACAGTCAGTGTGCTGCATCAATCAGCCCTTGTTTCAGTCCCTTGCTAAGCAGCACCAATCCTCTCCCTCAGCTCCCATCCCATTTTCATCCAGAGAGCTTCAGGTTTCATTGGTATTCATTGTCAGTGCCACCAACATACCAGAGTGTGTTACATTCTCATTCTCTTCATCAATGACCGTATAGATCCCAGTGATTGTCTGACCAGTTGCCCACAGCCAGCCAATTCTTTGTGGCTCCAGTTCTCAGGTGTATGGGGAACTTTCACAGGATATGAGGCAACACAATAGCTGTCTGTCAGAGATACACTTGCTCTTATCACCACTGTAGCCTAGTTGCCACATCTGCCCTTAGGGATCTGTGAGAAAATGGTGTAAGATGAAATATTCAATGACGAGGGTTGTAGGATTGATCACCTGCGCAGTCACTGTGGAACACCTGAGGATGTGTGTATCATTTGTTAGCAAAAATGTTGTAGGGAACTGGTTGATTGCAGATATTAAATCACAAAGTCTTCAATAAAGTAACTGAGGAGGAAAGTGAAGAGCAGGCAGTTATACTGGATTTAGACAGGTTTAAATGATGTTGATAGCAAGCCCCTAGTTCGGTGTTGTTCTACGGCATTGCATTTTTGCAGTTTCATTTTATGCCTACTGGTTTTTGTTCTCAGCCCTTTTTACCTCACAAAATTGCGTTTGTTACGAAATTATAAATTTATGAAATTGCACTGAATCGATTCCAGTGTTCATCTTCTAATTTCAGTTTATCTCACTACCCTTCTCCGTCCTTCCATCGTCCTCTCACTGTCATTGCAGTGTTTTGGCTGCTGTCCTGTTGCCATGCAGAGACAACAATGGGCCCTCTCTGTCTGAGCACATCACTGCCCGAGGAATACTTATTTAATAGTGGCATGCTTCAAGAGGGAAACACAATGTCTTGTCTCCCAGCTGAACTCTTTCATGGACTCATACTGCTGTTGTCTCTGTCCAAAAGGCTTCTCAGGTTCATCGGTAACTGCCTCCATTTCCCAGACTGATGGCTGAGCCTTTCCATGTGCCTAGCTGGGCTCAGACAATGTTTGCCATGAGGCCTGATATCTCACTGGATGCTACTAAGCGTCTGTAGTTGTAGTAGTGAGAAGACGTTCATTTGTCTGACAGCTATTCATGCAGACCTTTATCCAGCTTTGCGTGTCTTAGGTTTAATAATAATCAGAGTTTTACTCCCAAGGGAGTAGTGTGTTTGGAAATAAAGTTATATGACGTGAGATGTTATTATTTAGCAAGCACAGTGTACAGTTGTATACTCCATAGAAAACTACAATCAGTTCTCTTTGTGGTTGCACAGCATTGGTCTCGCTGCTCTTTGGTGCTCTTGTAAGCAAACTGTTGAATTGCACAGCATTTGCAGAGTAAATCTTCAGTGCATTCACTGTCTTAGTTTGACAGCCCCCTACTGTCTGTGCTGTTTTTAGCCAAAGTCTGAATAATTTAGAGCATGTTGCCCCAGTGTTTACCTTCAGAGACTATGCAGAAAAAAACTGTTCTCCAACATGCTTCCACAGGGAGCGCAGGGGTACAGTGCTGAGTGGACAAAGCCAAGTGTCCCTCCCATGAGGGTCTTTGTTTGGCCGTCAAAGCCTGGGCAAACTAATGTTTGAGTAGGAGATTCAAGTTCTGCAGCTTGCCAAATGTGAGTCATGGTGCTGTGAGTGAAGCTGCTGCCCCAGCAAACTGGCCCAGCTATTCTTTTATCAAAAAACATTTCAAAGAGTCTGAAAGAGCGCAGTGACTTACAGGCCTAAACTGGCTCCTATCGAGTATGTTTCATCAAAAAGAAGTTTGACTCCTTCTGGGAAGCTGATCACTCTGATTCTATTTTTCTAAGCAATTAATTTCACCTCAATAGAATCATCAGGACGCCAAAAAGCAATTACTGTGTTTTGTTTTGCCTGGGAGTTTGGCCATTTGCTTAGGCCAGTCTGTCAATAAATCAGTCACGCAGCGCAAAAATGGCAGTAGGCGTTGAAGTAGAGGAACAAGCAGAAGAACTATTATCTTTTTTTGCTTCTGAGCAAGTGTTGCAATCTCTGCAGCAGATAATGTTCCTCAAGAACTCAGAAAACAGAAACAGTGGAGTGTTACAGTGTAACTGTACCTGTAAGGTGTTCTCTTTAATTATGTTATTACGGTGCTGATATGAGTTATCCAAGTGAACAGTTTCTCAAAGAAAACAGTCATCTTCTTCTAGCCAGGGACTCCACCCCTCACACTTGATACATGCGACTCCTGAGGAAGTTTACGTCATTCAAACCAAAGTGCTTCATAGGCCCAGCAGTGAAAAGAATGAAGACCAACTGGTCGAGTTCCGTCTCTGTGCTTGTCTTACCTTTTACCATGTACCATTTACACACTCGTTCCTATTCTGTTAATTTCTCTTCAGCTCCCGACTCGGATCTGAACACAAACCCCACAAGGCCTGACCCGGAGGGGGAGAGCAGCCCCCCGAAGACAGACAACACCCAGAGAATGGAGTCTCCAGCCAAGAAAGATATTGACCGGAGATTGACTACCCCCACAAAATCTGACGTCATCCCTCGATCACCTGGGTCACCTGCATCACCCATCCCCAGGTCGAAAAGGAAGGAAGGTAAAGAAAAAAAAATGTCACCGCTAAAGTATACCTGCAAATTTGGCCTGACATGTAGCAGCTCTTATAGGCAAAGGTAATGCTTCATTATCTGAGTAAAAGTGACCACATGCTTTCAGACTAGAAGCTAAATCCAATAGAGCTGCTGCAGATTATCTTTAAGTGTTGGAACAAGCATGGAACAGATGCTGCTGTGTGAGAACATCTCAGCTTTGGGCTCAAAGATTTTAGGCATAATTGAATTAGTAAAGATAATATTCAGGTAAAATATAGACAAATGAGCTTTCTTGTCGTTAGCTAATGCTGATGCTAATCACTACCATGCACTGTTCACTAATGAAAGGAGGGCAAAAGGAACCTGAACAGAAATCCCATTTCAGTGATGCCAAGAAGGCATTTAGTTTGACCTCCTTGCAACATTTCCACAATGCCACCACTTGAAACGCCTTGCAGCCACTGGCGAACAGCACATGCAAACTCTAAGGAACATGTTTGAAGGATTTTGGAGTGTAAGCCTCTTTTCTCTCTCCCCTTTATTCTTTATCCATTAATCCATTCACTGTGGTCATGGTTTTTATTCCCTTTGGGCGAGGTGAAGGGGATAAACCCCCCAAAGTCCAAAATTGCTCCCAATACTCTCGATACCTTGTAATGACCTCCAAGTCAATATCAAGACATTTATGGTATTCTTTGCTTATTTGCCAAATTGTGGTCTATTTTAGAGAAACATGTAGTTGAGCCCTTAGTCTCCGGATTCCAAAAATGTCCCACACTTCCCCTTTGTCCTTCAAGTTCCATTTTTGCACCACCCAGAGGGGTATGATGAAGATGAAAAGCACTCTGTGGCTCCTTAATTAGTGAAATGAAATGTTGAGGCTTGTAGTTCAGTCTTGGAGCTGCAGCTTCTGGTAATGGTCTGCACAGTTTGCACCGTGAGGGTTGCAAGTCACACACTATACAGTATACTCAGCACTGCTCCTTTTGTACCCCAATTTAGAGGTGGACAAAATGACACAGGGCTGACATTTTAAGAAGGGGTGTGTGTGTGTGTGTGTGTGTGTGTGTGTGTGTACACACGTATAGTCTGGAGCCCAAACACTGCACCTAGCAGTTTTTTCTAGGCCGGCCTGTTCTTGTCTCAGATGCTTTGTGCATGTGACGTTATGATTAACATGGTGGTGAGTTGCAAACAACAGCAGCACATCACACTGACCAAGACCATGCACATGGGCCATAGTCCTATAAATATCAAAGTGGGTCAGAGGTTGTTCTTAGGGAAGGCTGCATGGCAGATTGTTTTCGTGTTTATGATTCACGCCTCTCCCTATTAGACATTGCTGAAGGATGAGCTTCTGTGTGTTTGATGATGAACATCTGTTCTGTGAAGATCAGGGGGGATGATGTAGCATGAAGACTAAAGAATGATCAAGACTGCAGTCTGTGTCAGTGTTTCCCAGCAGTGGACACATTATTTGTGGTAGTGCACACTTCAAATGGACATGAATGATTTCACATTGTAGCTGTTTTGATCAATACACAATTCAAGCTAATTTATTTGGGTGGGCTGCAAAGATAAGTTGTATGTAAGGATGTTGTCTATCTGCAATTCTGTATTATAAAATAAGCTGTAACTCAGTAATTAGAAAGCATGAATAAATTAGCTATAATCATGTTTGTGGTGTTAATTGGGCTGCAACTGACTTCATTTGGTCTATAGAATGTCAGTAAAAAGCAAAACATTTTCATCACAAGTTACCAGACCCACAGTGAAATCTTTAAATGTCTTGTTTGGTTCAATCATCAGTTCAAAACCCAAATATATTCTGTTTACAGCAAATATTGACATTTGAAAAGCTGTAACTTGTAAGTTCTTGCTTAATATATGCTTTAAAAATGAAAAAAAATGAATAGATTATTAAAATAGTTGCCAATAAATGTTCTACCTATTGAAAAATTGATGAATCAAATAATCGTTTCAGCTCTATTTGTAAAATATTTTTCTAGGGATATTTCTTGGAGGACATATTAAGGATGCCTTTGGCAAGTCAGAATAACAGTATTTGTTTCCCAGGATGTAGGACCAGTTATCATGAAAGGATGCAGTTTGAATTCTTGAAATGGTTCAGCTCAGTGTTTGCTTGCATTGCTGTTTTTTCACTGAGTGTTTCTGAAGTATTTGGAAGGTATGTTGTGTGTGAGTAGATATCAGAGATGTCACAGAGGGAAGAGATATATGTAAGTGCTCCCCTGTAGTCATAACAGCACAATCAAACATACACCCAAATCTAGATGGTACAGGAGATTTAGTGAGCCTGCCACATGCTGCAGCTTTTATTTAGAGAAGATTGGTTTCATGAAAAAAAAACGTTTTTTTCTTATGTTTTTTTCTTAATCCAGAAAATGTAGCACACCTCGGCTTCAGCCATTTATTGAAGATTAGCATTCAAATGTTGACGTTGCCAGTTTCCTGTCATTGTCTGGTGGTATGCATTTCCTTGTGGTGGCATTTAAAAGTTAAAAGCCTCTGCTGCTGTGTTTGCAGAGCTTGATTAACCAGCTATAATTGACCTGCAAGAAACATGAAGACCTATGAACCTTTTTAAATAAATGCTGTGTGACAGAGGTCTAGTGGAGCAATATGCCACCTCTCGCTTACACATCCTCTCTATAATTTCTCCTTTCTCCCCCCTCCATTCTCATCCCCAGACATCATCAAGTCAGAGGAGAGGCAGAAGCTTGCCAAGGAGCGGAGAGAGGAAAAGGCCAAATATCTTGGTAAGTGGAAACAAGGTGTGGGAGCAAAGCCTATTTCATAGAAGAGAGCTCCCCCTAGCGTTGGGGGCAAAGAGATCACAGAGAGCTTTACATTGTGTCAAGTGCGTGGGTTTGCTGTAGGCTGCAGATGGTATGCACATGTGGCACAGGGAGGATAAAAAGGTAGTTTGGCCTTTTGCACAAAAGTGACTGAAATCAGCAAAAGCCAAGCCACCATTTTATCAAAGACGAGCGAGCATTCATTTTCTACGTGCATGTTGAAATGAGCAGCGTCAAAATGTTTGCTTTTTGTATGCTTGTTTGACTCTTTAGCAGTTTACCTCACCTACCACTCTAAGATGTATGCCTGTACAATTTGAATTAAATGGAGATATTCCTCACATTGACAAGAAATGTTGGATAAGTGACAAATGTAAATTTTTCCCCCCATTTATTAATAAAAAAATATTTTGGCAAGAGTTCAGCTTTTTGCAGTGTGATGAATATCTCTAATGACTTAATGTTATTAGAAATTTGAGTCAACAAAGCATGAAAACCTGCTTCTACATTATCCTAACTTCAATCGATATAGTTTGATCAATTGGTGCACAATGTCCTCGGCGCCATTCACCTGGGTGTCATAACAAAAAAAATTTTTTTTTTCAATTGATATTGCATCTCTTTGCCTAAGTCCTTACTTTTTGTTTAACACGCGGCTGTCACAATGTCACCTGGCTACACGCTCGTCGTGCACTGCTTTGCATGACTGACAAGTTGCCTCTGTCTTCTCTCTCACTCCTTCCCCCTGCAGAAGAGCTCAGCATGTTACAAGGTAAGCCACTCACCTATGTGTATGTGGTGGTGGTGGTGATGACCCTTTTCGTCCATTCTCTTAGATATTGATACCACATTCAGTAGTTTTAACTAGAGTTGGGCAATAAACCAGAAACTTACCAAGATATAGACATTAGGAGTAACAACCTTGCTCATGTTGGTATGATAAAGCTATTCCCATATGACTTTAAGAACTATCCTCTAAAAAAACAGTCACATGCTTCAGGCCAATCTCTCCTTCATTCCACATCCTTACTTTATAACAAAGCAGCATATATTATATATAATCATCCTTCTGTGGTTAAGCCTGCTTAAAATATTTAATAAATGAGCTTGTAGACACACACACACACACACACACACACACACACACACACACACACACACACACACACACACACACACACACACACACACACACACACACACTTCTTCGTTATCAGGGAGCCCTGATGGAAGGTAATAAAATATTAATGTTTAACCTTGTTATGAAGGTAAAGACAAACATAAAACACATACAGTAAGAGTTACAATATTGAGTTTTGGTCATATTGCCCAGACCTAGAGCTGTTTCATTCATTTAATCCCCCTGGTGTTCCTGTTTTTAAAATCATGGTTGATTTTATTTTTTCTTTATCACATAAATTTCAACTAATTGTAACCTTTTGTCTCTCTGAACATCATTAATGTGTCTTTCGCAAAATTCATGTAGGCATAGTCTGATCACTTAACCAATCATTTATCTGTTGTGATAAGTGTTAATATTGGTTGTTTTTCACATATAAGAAGTTGTAGCATGACCTGAGTTTGAACTTTGTTCATCCACATGCTCCAACTGTGGAAGCGACAGAGCTCCATGGATTTTGTACTTTAAAGATAACATGTTTGAACCACATGCCGCAAAACTGCTATGATTACCATCTTACTGGAGAAATTGGAGGTTTTAGAGACGCCTGCAGCCAGATTCATCTTGGCTGCAAATATTCCAACAATTTTACAAACAACTTTATATTGCCAAACATAAAATCACCAAATTGAAAATGTTCTGAAATAGGAAAATATGTTAATTATGCTGAATGGTAGTGTATTCAAAGTAGCCAGCAATACAGGGTATTGTGAGCGTGGTACTAGACCAAAATATATGGACTAGAATCATCCAGTTTGTGTTCTTCATTACCTTACAGTTAGTGAGAAATTGGTAAAATAGAGTCTAAATATGCTCTTAGCCCCAGTTTTATTAGGTTTTCTCAAAACTATATTAACATTTTAGTAAACACTTCAGGCTAGGGTAGGTAACGTTGGAGATACTAGCAAGAGATGGCTAGATTTTGAAGTATCCAACCGATAAAAAATCCCACCATCTCCCTTTAGGCCTTTCTCCAAAGCTACTCCCCCAGAACACATTTTCATGCGCAATGAGTACACGGGCAGAGGGTGCCCAGGTAGGTAGGCCATGATTGGTTGGGCTCATTACATACCTGCAACAACCACAGATAGCAGATTTAAAAAATGATTAGTATTTGATGTATTGATTGCTATTGGGATATGGAGAATTACTGAAATACATTACATACCATAGCTTTATGGCTATATTATATTTTTCACATTGACATTTCAAGCATGATGTATATCATCACATTACACTGATTTCTTTAAACTATCAAACTCGTACTTTCAGTAATGCCATGTTGTCTAAGCCAACTGTGTGTTCGACAGCAGTAAGATGAGTTTGACATGCGTCAGAAGGTGGATCAGTCTAATTGGGCGATCACCGGGGCATGCCAGATGGTACGGGTCTAATCTAATACTCTCAGTCAGACCTGGATAAAGGATGAGATCCTACAAAAGCTTGTGTTTACAATATCAGCTTAAAAGAGATCTTGCCTATCAACCATCACCAGTAGTATAACTGGTTTAGTAGTACACGGGCCACAGGTAGAAAATCCTTACACATCCTAGCTTGTATTTTATTGGTTCCTTGTTACGTTTAAGTGAAGCTTTGAAACCCATGCATCAGGGAAGTGGCTGCTACTGCACAGATGTTACTCTGCTGCCTTGTCTGTCTTTGGTGGGATGCAGCTGTATGTACCAGGGTTAGAGCAGCACTGTGTTTATGATTATTTAATGATCGTACTATAGTAAGTCCCGATATTACTTGTCAGTGCAGATCACTGTCAGGAGAGTTGGGGAAGGCATTTTAAAGCAATGTCAGAAATTCAGAATTGAACATCTGTTTATAACTTAAACTCTGGTACAGATGCATAAATTATTTGATGATGAATAGCACTCTGAACGGCCAGTTTCCAGCTCATTTTCCTTCTTGTAACCAACACCTATAGTCTGGAAAACCATTACCAAATGTTTCTGTTGAATGAAATGTTATGGATGTGGAAAACTGTAATCTATCTCTCAGCAAGCCTTAAACATTGCATTTGTGGGCAGTTGAAGCAGCATCTGCCTCCCTCTATTCTCATCACAGCACAAGTGAATTATGAAGCAGTTTCCACTGCACTACTTACAGTACCATCTCTACAGATTTGAAGGTAAAACATGTGGCTTCTCTCAAATCGAGGCCGTTGAGCTGTGATGAGCTGAGAGACGCACTGCAGCAGATATTTTCTTTGCCGCAAGGTGCTGGCAAGCAGTGCCTCGTTATAACTCAGCCTTTTGTTCCCTTTTCAGATAAAAGCCAAAGTGTGTGCCTCCCAATAAATTTTAACCCCTTTAGCCTCCAGCATCTCTGGAATGAACGTCAACATAATCTGAAATCCACAACCAGTTGCTTTTGTTGTATCAAGTGGTTTAGAGAACTAAGCCTCACCTCCTTGCAGAGGCTGATTCTTCCTGGAGGTTTTACTTTGTAGTTTAAAGAAATATGGTGCGTTGTGTACACAGAGAGGCAGCTGCAAAAGGCTTCTTTACGGCCTCTTTGAATGGCTCAGGGACAAGGAGATGATTTCCATATCAAAGTGTGTGGTTTATTGAAGCTGACATGGAGGCTTGATGCAATTAGTGTGGGATAAAAGTGTCACTTCAGAAGTACTGTATCTGTCTAACTTAGCATTATGCAGTATTCTGTGGAAAAGGCAAGAAAATTGAATTTATTTTATCGAACACAAAGCACAATTGAGGTGAAGGGCAACATCTTTTTTCCAAAGACTGCTATAGATGTAAAGTAAACATCAGAGACTTGACTTTTTAGGTATTTTCTTCAAGTTTCAAACTGGATTTTTCTTGAAAATCCCCAACCTATCAAATAGGTTTTAAATTTTAACAGTAATCTTCTAAGTCAAAACTGATACAAACCTTTCAAAGAGAATGCACACTATACCTACAGTATAATGAAAGGCCAGGGAAGAAGGGCTCCTTGTCCAGTGCTCTTTTGGTAAAATACGTCTCTCCTGACCATACTTTCTGTCCAATCTTAGCTGCTAAAAAGAACCAGTGGTTGGAGAAGGAAGAGAAGGCACGGCAGCTGAGGGAGCAGCAGCTGGAGGAGCGCCGCAGGAAGCTCGAGGAACAGCGGATCAAGGCGGAAAAGCGACGAGCTGCTCTGGAGGAGAGACAGAAACAGAAACTGGAGAAGAATAAAGTATGTTTGGACAAGAACACTGGCTATGTTAACAATAATCCATTCAGTGAGTGAAGGTGTTTTATGTTTGCGTTGATACCCAGAGGTGAAATATCAATGCCCACCCACACTGAAATGGCAGGTGTACAGCTGCAGATCATGGGATTTTGAATTTTCCTCAAGGACACCTAAGCCATGCTGGGTGCTTAGATCCAGGCTTTTCAGCTGAAGGACGCATTACACCACCCAGTTCTTCACATTGCCTTTGATGTTAGACATTTAAACAACTGATAGATGTTCCTGTATCCTTTCCAGGAACGTTATGAGGCAGCCATCCATAGGTCAACCAAGAAGACGTGGGCAGAAATCCGCCAGCAAAGATGGTCCTGGGCCGGCGCATTAAGCCACAACTCAAGCCAGAAAGAAAGTGAGTACCCAATTCCAACCTGGATACACATCTTTAAACTATCCGAAGGACTCCCTTTTAATCATTAGGAATCATATCATCATCATCAAGCCAATATGAGACAGTTTGTCAAGATATTAATAATGTCATGTTATGGCCTTTTACATCTGAACCATTTAGGTAGCCTGAAATGAGTGCATCACCTCGTTCATGTGAATTTTACCAAAATGTGTTTTGTTGTCTGCTTTGCAATCCCAACAGCACAATAGATGGCTTAGTTTAGGTGTACAGTGTTTTATGCTCACTGCTGGGGATGGCATATGATGTTGGCAGGTGTAGTCAGAAATGCTGCCCAAACAGATTTTGACGGCACTGGAGGTTTTGTTTTGTTTTATTTTAATCCAATATGTCTTGGCAGCATCAGTCAAAGTCCTCCATCTTAACACACCGTTTCCCCTGATGTGTTCGCTACTTCAGCACTGTCCTGCCTGTCCGGATTGCCTCTTAAACCTTACTTCAGGGTCATTAGCCCTTGATCATGACCAGACCGTATTGATCGCAGAAAGTGAAAATGTTTTCAGTTGCTGAGCAGGGTGAAAATTCGCTGCAACTAGCAGCAAATTGAATATATTGTCTAATAATGCTTCATTTGAATGATAAATGTCCCGACAGTCCAACAGCTGATGAGATCAGAGTCTGCAGTGACTGCAGATCCTAGGTAATACTGTAGAAATTGTGTTTTAACAGTGCAGCTTGATGGATGCTTCTGTGCCTTTGTGCCTTCCTCACGACATGAAGCTCTAAATCTGAAGAGTTGTACCTTATGTCATGTAATCATCTCTGCCATATGCCAGGGGAATTATTGATACTGTAATCAATCTCTCCCTTAGTTCCTGCTGTCTGTCAGATGATGAAAGTAAACAAGCGTAAACGGGCTGCAGTGGAAGTGGAGTTTGAGATGCTATTTAGGAAATGCTCCCAAGTACCCATCTTTGCTTCTGTCAGAAGAGCATACTGCCTCATCCACTAGACAAGACTTTAATACTGTTCCTCCATTACTGTAATGTTCTCTGAACCATGCCTCACAACATTCCGAGAAAGTGTTCATTTGATTGCAGTTTATTAAAAGGGATATAGAATTGGGATAGATGCAAGTATTGCACATTGATCTTAAGGTTTCAAGCTTGCCCTTTTCTGAAATGCCAGTTCACGTCATCAACCTTGAAATGAGTAAGTGTTTCCAAGCAGCTTCTTTCCATCACTTGTTTGGTTGTTATTTTGCCATGTCTTTTCATGTTCATTGCTTGTGTTGGTAGGCATTTAAAATGTTCTTCCTTAGTGTGTTTGGGATACTTTTGGGAATTGGTATTGCTGTGAAGTAGGCATAACCTTAATTATTGTTCGTGTGGAATTTTGAGAATTTTTTTCATTAAAGGGTCATTTTCAAACTTATTTTCTCACTTACCTCAATGGACTTGAGTGGAATTTAGTTTGGTGCACTCAGCATTAAAAATGAAAAGGGCCTTAAAAATAAAAGTCTACAATTTATTAAAGTATATTTCAAAACCTGGCGAATTGAAACCAAAACTATCTGCAATGCTAAATACCACAAGAGGTAAGTGAGGGGGGAAAAAAAGTGTTTATATAACTTAGTTGAACTGACCCTTTAAAAACTTTAAAACTTTTGAGTCAGAAGCATTATAATTTCTGACACACACAGGCTTTCTACCAAACATGACTGCCAACCCACCTAAAAGCTAGCTGAAGTGAACATATGGTGTACAGTGTGCGTGTATGTACCGTAAAGCAGTGAATGATTATTATTATTTACATGGTCGCCACACAGGAACTTGCTTTAATAGGGTGGGGGTTGCCCACGTTACAAATATATGTTACAGTATTGACCTTTACAGTGTCTGGGTGTATGATTGTAGAGGCATCATTCGAGCGTGACACATGACACCACAGAAGCTCCTCCTCTTCCTCTCAACCATGTGACCTGTGTGAACATCTGTGTGGCGCTCTCTTGGCTTCTTAGGCAGATGCTCTGTGTCAACGGTCAACCTGCCCAAACATGTGGATTCTGTTATAAACAAGCGACTGTCCAAGTCCTCCGCCACGCTCTGGAACTCCCCCAGCAGAAGTAAGGCAACATCTGGAATGCCCCCCTTCCTCTCCTCCCGTTTAACTGTGCTCATCACTCTGCCACCGCCAGTACCTCCGAACCTGTTCATCATTGTCCTGTATTTATTTCAGTTCTTCCCCTTTGTGATTTCAGTCCCTCTCCTGTGCTTGATGGTTGACAGCTGACCCATTTCCATCTTCCAAAACCACAAGTTGTTTTTTTTACTCTCCAGAATTTGGGTCGAGGTTTTGTTTTACATGGTTTGCATGCTCGTATTTTAATATGGGTTATGTACAGTGTTCATATTTTGTTGTTTTTACTATCCTCTTGGTTGAATCATTGTGTGGTAATGGCCATTTCATGTTTGCACAGTCAAATGGATCCTTTTGTGCTCATTTTCATCACAACACACGGGATATAGGATTTCTTTTCTACTGTCTTAAATGCTTTATTGATAAATGGAGGTAGATGTCCTTTATAAATGACACTTTTCTTTGAATCAGCTTTGTGCCTCTGAGTCAACCTTTCTTGATGCTTCGGATGAGTGCAGCTCTTTATTTTTATTTAATAGGTCTAAAGTTAAGCAGGTCACGGTGTACTCCTGCAAAGGAGGAGAAACTTCTGAGTTTGGAAAAAGTAAAGTTAGTGAGTGAGTCAGTGAGTCAGCGCTTTTCAAGAGATAATGTATTCTGAAAACTCCCCGAAGCAGGTAATGTTCCTCCGTGCTGCTGGAAAAAATAGATTGGTAACTCTTGTCTCACTCCTCTCCCAACACAATTACACACCCTGTCTGTGAACATTCACGGTAACATCTTTCTCGTCCTACACCTTAAAGCCAAAGAAGAAGGCATCTTCGCAAAATAAATACTGATCAGTGTCCACTCTTCTTCATCTTAGCTTGTAAGCTTAAAGCTGTGGTTATATATAACTGACTCACTGTCTAGACAATTTCACATAACTCTCTCTCTCGGGTGGGACCACTACTGCCCAATGCTATTGTAGACACATTTAATGACCTCAGTTTCTTTCTCTTATAATCTCTTTGGGTGGCACTGAGGTGTTTTATTGGGTTTTTGTGTATTTCATCTGGGTTTTATGGTTTGTAGACCTATTGCTACATGATCGTAACATGAATAACCATTTCTTATACTTACAGCAAAATTCTGGTTCAACAGAGGATATCTAATAGAAAAACATACATTTATCAATCTGTTTCTCCTACCTGCAGACCGTAGTCTTGCACTGAGTCCATGGGAGAGCAGTATAGTCGACCGGCTGATGACGCCAACACTGTCTTTCCTTGCTAGGAGCCGCAGTGCTGCCAGTGTCCTCAGCAATGGCAAAGATGGCCGTAAGTTTACAAAAAAAGATGAATATTAGTTTAAAATCTGCCTCACAGTAAATACATTACGCTGCTGTATGAATGTTGTGTCCCTTTTCTCCTCAGACTCTGCTCTCTGCCCCCGTTCGGCCTCAGCCAGTCCCCTCACCTTGTGTGCTCACCAGCCCCACCACCGCTGCGCCGACCGCTGGAGGGTGACGTCCAGCACACCAGACATCACCCAGCGCCAACAAAGAAGGAGCTCCACACCTGTAAGTCTGCCTAATTAGCTTTTGCCCTCTGACAGTTAAGTGTACTCACAGTCTAAAGAAAGACTCTATCTAAAGAGTTACAATAAGTACCTATGCCATTTTCCAGAATAAGAGGGTAGCTTATCACACCCAGTTTACCATTTACCTGAACCTGATGGATAATTTAACATTAAAATTGTTGATTTTTTAATTGAGAAATATGGTCCCTAATTCCTGAGTACTGTATAGAAACCTGTTTTTATTATAATTGAATGTTATTTTGGAAATTTGTCATACAGATGGATAAAAACAAGAAAGAAAAGAAAGACAAGGAACGGGAGAATGAGAAGGAAAAAAGTGCCCTCACTAAAGAGAAGGTGCTTAAGAAGAGACAGTCTCTACCCAGCATGAGACACAGACCTGATCCAAGGTGAAACATATGGCTGATTTCTACTTTTTATTTTTCTTAATTTTTAGTACTAATTCAGTTCAGTTCAGTTCTCTTTTCCATACTTAACTATCACCAACCCGGTTACTGATTTCATCTAACAGACTTCTAATTGTGATATAATAATATAATAAATTGTCTGTCTACACTTTTAACAAAGCCTTTGATCAATTACCACTTCTGATGTTAGGCTTCCGTCAGTCAACTATCAACAATCAGTTTATCAAGCAATTCTATGAACTAATTAAGTAAAATTTCCAAATCTTCTCTGGTTACAGTTTCTCATATCTGAGGACTTTTGGCTTTTCTCTGTTTTGTTAATTGAATATCTTCTCTTCTATTTTGGACTGTTTGTTACACAAAAAAGGACACTTCAAGATGCCATCTTGGATTCTAGGAACTTATTTTATACATATACATTTTCCACATTTTATATACAGAACATAGCGATCAGATGCAAATAAAATGGGCAGATTAATCAGTCACAAAAATAATCATTAGTTGTGACCTTTAATCAAAGGGCCTCGGGTGAACATTAACAACTGAACACAGTGAATATATGCAAGGCAAGCGTTAAACCTTGCGAAAGCTCCAACGGAAAAGCACACTATAAGAACAATGTAAGGTATGAAATTAAAAGCTACAAAATAATTTTAGATACTATAAAAAACAATTTGAATAATCTGACATATGATAATCTGCTGTTTTGATATTTATACAGACATGGAGACTAAGTCCATTTTGTAAACTAGGTTAACCTTACATCCCTTTGACACACAGCTTGTTTCTGGTCAACAGCTGGGTTAGACAAAAAGACCATCTTTACCTCTGCATTGTAATTACTGCTTATTTCACGCACTGTTTGATCTGAGACTTTGAGTGAAAGATCCCGGGATGAGTGGTCATTTCCTCTCTTATCCCCAGGCCACTGAAATAAATGACATCCATGACAGAAGGGATGGATGAGGAGAAAAAAGTTCTTTTGACTCAACAAAAAGGCTATACCAAGCTTGCCAGAGCTGTCAGTGCCAAAGGCATAGAGGGGAAAAAAACGTCTTCTTCAGCATAATGGATGTTTCCCCTCCAAGTGTTGCATTGCTTATAGCTGAGATGCTGACTGATAATGCATTATACTGGTGATGCAATGTTTGAGTGCTTTATTTGCTGTGAACCTATTTGCTGAAGTCAGGTTTCTTCAGGACGTGTGTGTTATATTAAAACAAACATTGCAGCCCAGGTCTAAAAGAATAATGTGTCCACTGTGGTGTAAATGCATTCATTTTCTACCAGTCTCATATTTCACCCCTGTATTTTCCTTTCCTCTAGTCCCAGTCCTTTATCAAGACAACGGCCATCATCCCCAGCCACGCCTAAGGGCAGAACTGCCTCTCCAAGCCCAGCTGCCTCACCCAAGCCTCCATCAGCACGTGGAAGCCCGTCAACTCCTAAAAGTCGGCCCAAAAGAGCCAGGACCCCTGCCAGGATAGACCACCGCACCTCCTCCCCCGCCCCCCTTGAAAGAGTGAAGGAGCCTCGGAGGCCCGCCACTCCAGAGGAAAGAAAGAGTGAGTACAACAGTTCTGATGGTGATTATTTCTGACTAGACGGGATTAAAAAGCTCGATGAGCATCAGTCAAGACATGCTGTTCATAGTTTTGTAAGCCTTTTCTATGTCTAATGTCTCATCTCCGCAGTGATCAACCTATTTGCGCAGTCCAACAATACAGTATATGTAGATTATGGGTAGCTTCCCTCCATGGTTGAGTCATTCGGTATTTACTTATAATTTTTTTTTTATATATACCCAAAGAGTTCTTCACTGTTTGGCTTGGTGTCTTTCCGTGACTGGCCAGAACAATGGTTCTAATGGAAAAAGTGAACAAGCCTCAGGAAAATCGTTCTTTTCTTTCAAGACGCAAAAAGCAAAGATTACCGTCAGGCTTAATTAGCCAGAAACAAAGGGAATGTATTTAGTGAGCCACACACAGCACTAAGAGGCTGCACTAATTATCTAATTACAAAGTTCTCAGGCTGAAGCTATGGCTGTTTATAATTTCCACTTTCAGGGGACAGAATGTTTTACTGCATGTGAAGAGAAAAGTCTGCAGTTGAACCTGTTATTAATCATGATGATTATCAGTGGGCACCACTTTTAAAGTCATTACTTTTAAAGAAGCATAAATAATCACTAAATTAAAAGTTGTTTTCAATAAAAGTTAAGTTACACAGCACAAGATCTGTGTGTTATTGTCTTGTCTGTAACACTTTTTTTTTTGTTGTTTTAGGTTCCCCTGTGCTTCCTGCCATCGTAGTCTCCTCAGCCGCTGCCTCACCCCACACATCAAGCACGCCAGTTACGACCACTGCAGCCTCCCACTCACCTGAACCAGCCAATTCAGCTACTTCTGTCCCTGCAGTATCACCTGCACCATCTCCATCAGCCAAGCCCATGGCGGGTACAAACAACCCAGAGGAGGCAGCTCGCATCCTGGCAGAGAAACGCCGACAGGCCCGAGAGCAGAGGGAGAGGGATGAGCAGGAACGTCGTGAACAGGAGGAGAAAGAGAGGTCAGAGGGTTTTAATATGCCTCAGAACACAACCAGAGAGGGTCAGCGCAGTGTTGACCTTGCAATGAAAGATCTTTCACATTGCGAAAAGAAAAAAATTATTTTAAACATGTCTGTGTCCAAGTTGTGTTCCCACTTGGGGGCTGGTCTTTGATCTACACATTACTTTCTTTTTCCCTGTCAGACGTCTCAACAATTGTACAGAAGGTCATAAAAGGAATTACAGGAACTATTTTTAAATTTGCAATGTGACCCTCAGTCAAACAGTTTATGACATTTGAACTAAAATGGAAGTACAGTATATTATTATTTATGTAATGTCATTGTGAAATGGTTTGTGTAGAATACTCTGCTGTAGCTTTTTATATGCTGTAAAACAAACCTTACTGAGGACATTTAGCTATTTCCCGTAGCAAAAAATTAAAAAGACATCAATAAAACTTAACAGGAAGGCTGCATGCAGTATCACGGCCCATGCATGTCTGAATAAGACATCACTGGCACTGTTGGCCGTGATGTGTGTAAGCATTAAGAATTTGATAGCCTGTTGGCTGATTCTAACCACAGTTACTATTTTCAGCGTAGGAATTTATTTGATCTTGTTGGCATTGTTTAGATTTTCCTAAATAGTTTGGTTTCCTTTTGCTTGTGCCTCAATGTTAACTCGGCAGAGATAGTGTAAACTTAAAGAGGAAAATGTCCAGTCAGTAGAGTCATTTACATTTTAGATTGTTTACCGCATTTTAAGTGTTTGGCACATGATTTTGTGGAAAATACTTATGCTCAGCCTTATGCTCAAACTCTTTAGGATCCTGAGAGAGGAGCGAATAGCGAGGGAGGCAGAGGAGAGGCAACGCAGGGAGGAGGAGGCCCGTGCCATGGCCGAGGAGCAGCGGAGGAGGGACAAAGCCCAGCGCCTGCAGGAGGAGCAGGAAGCTCAGGAGAGAGCCAAAGCTGAGCAGGAGGAGAACCTACGCCTGCAAAAACAGGTATGCTGAGTGTCAACGCCCAGATGCAGAGAAAGCACCTAAAATGGTAGTTGTTTGTGAGGTTGGGTGTTAATGCAGTAGACAGGTCTGGTTAGTCAGATAAAGGTCAAAGGAACTTGCAAGTACTTGGCAGTGCCAATAACCATCAAGCACCACTGTGACAGTTATTACTGCCCTTCGATTAAAGTTCATTCACACAGCAAACTTACACGCTCTCCTATCTTCAGCAAACAATCTGTTTGTGGTGTTTTTCATTGTCACTTGTTTACTGTCTCAGCTCAGCTGCTCACCTCACGCTGACCTTGTTCGATAACAGGCTCATTCAAAAGCACAGTCCAGTATTTTCTACGTCAGTGGGATGTTGTCCTCAAAAGCAAATATTAATCCAAAGTGGTGAGCCGGAAGCTACTATGAATGTGCCCTTTTTACTTTTCAGTTTGTCAAATAACCATTACCAGCAATATTGACTTTTCCTGTGTTTGTGGATGTTGCTGGGGAGAAGCAGAAGAGAATCATGCTTGATTAGCAGAAACCAATTTCCAATAAGAAATGTGGCTATTATTACAGTTTGTTTATTCTGTAGACCTGTATTATGATCTGCTCTGGCACAGTCTTATCTGTTATCCAGCGCTTACGCTTTGTCACCCCCTTGTGGTCTTTCACAGAAATGGCTTGTGGTTAAACATGATCCAATATAATTATGCAAAGGGTTAAGTATTGTATTTCAGTTTGAATAGTCCTCGTGAAGCTGTAAATGTTGAAAATAGATCTTTTTGGCTCAAAGGTACAGGAAAATATCCCTTTTGTGGTTGTAAACAATAATTGCAGGGAGCAACCACACCCTTGTTACGTACAAGGCATGTTATTTTGGCTGCGTGCCCCCCCCCCCTTCTGCCAGCATTAAAACTGTGGTTGGATTCTCGCCTCTGTGTGTTTTCAGAAAGAAGAGGCTGAGGCTAAGGCCCGGGAGGAGGCAGAGAAGCAGCGTCTGGAGAGGGAGAAACACTTCCAGAAGGAGGAGCAGGAGAGGCTGGAGAGGAAAAGGGTATACATCTGTCCTCCAATCATTGTTCTTTCAGCCAGGTTTTAAAGTCACCCATTTCAAAATGGAAATGCATATTTTTTAAAATAATTTCATTCTCAGTCCTTTGCTACTGGACTATAAAGAAGGTTTTCTGAAAATCCATTAATTGAAAAGTCCCAGGTCTGCTCTCAACTGAAAACATTAACACAAAATTAATTCTTTATTAATTCTTAAACAATGTTTTAACGGATTTATAATTTGTCCATGCTGTAATTTCATTATGTTAGTCTGTTCTGTACACACAACATCCACTGCATGTTGTCTGTCCTGGGAGAGGGATCCCTCATCTGTTGCTCTTCCTGAGGTTTCTTCCTTTAAATAAAATTGACACGACTCCTTCAGTGAGGGTATGTACACTCTGTGGTCTGCCTTTTGACATGACAAAAGCAGGCTTGAAAGTTGATTCTGTGAAACCAACATGAATGATGTTTTTGGCTTATCCTGGATTGGTTGTCTGCATACCATGATTTAATAGGGCTTAGAATGTGTGTGAGCATGAAGCTATATATAAACAGTAATAATGGAGACCTCCCCTTGTCAATCATCTGTGTGTGGATGTGTGTGTGTTCTACTCAAGTATACCACCCACATCTACAGTAAGCTCACGCCTCTGAATGCTAGCTAAGCCTTTCTTTTCCTCTCCTCATCTTCTGTCCATGTGAGAAAGGCTCTTATCTAGGCGTGCCAAGCCTGGCTCCTTGCTGGAATTAGCCCGCAAGAACAGCATGTCCTCTGCCCTAAAGGCTCGCTGCTTAGTCATACTGTACAACACACATTTACTGACTGACTTCTACCAATAATGACTGGCCCATTCTTGTTATCGCCTCAACAAAGAGGAGTTTGTGCTCAGCAAGCTCAGGTGGTTAAAACTATCCTGTGGGGAAACACAGCAACTTACGAGACAAACAAGAACCTTTATTCTTGAGGCAGAAGGTTTGCAGCCAAACTAGATGCCAAAGCCATGAGTGTGTTATGAGTGTGTGAGCTGTTCATGAATAATCTTGGATCTTTAAATGCTTCACTTTTATGAGTGGCAGCTGCAGTATGGTCGTGCTGTCTCAGGCTATCTGTGTCCAGAGATGAAGGTTGCATCATCTTCTGCCCATACAAATTAGCCATCCAGAGTGGTTTATACTTTAGCACAGTACAAGCTTATCCGCTCTCCTTGATTCTAATGTTCACTGTTGGACCATCCTACGCCTGGTGTTCCAGCTAAGTACACAAGTGCTGCTTGGTCATATTGACACAGCCTTCCACCTGGAAGCTATGGCTGTAGAGCTCCGGTTTGACTTGGTGCATTCACTTCAAGCATAATGGCCTTAGACACAAGAGACAGGAAAACATTTTTCACTGCAAAGGGAAGCAATGAACAGCACAATATGGAACCTAGCAAAGCAGTCTGACAAGGTGTGTGGGCTCCATCAATCCCACTAAACCAAACCCGATGTTTAACAAAGATAAATAATGCTATTTTGTTGTGGATGCTATATTAATAACTTCCACATATGATTGGTGTTATGAGAAATAAAACGTTTATTTCTTAACTAAGCAATCAGGGCAGATATGTTTATAATGAAAATCTGAATTTGAAAATCTACAAACACTAACTAGGTTCTGTTATTGGCATTTTCCTTGGTCTTATTCCTTTCTTTCTTTCTCAGCGTCTGGACGAGATCATGAAGAGGACACGCAAGACAGATGGAGGCGACAAGGTACATTTGCTGTTCAGTGTTAACCAAAACAACAAGCCAACACTTTCCAGTAAAGATGATTGAAATGATCTCCTATCTTCACAGAAAGAGACAAAGTCCTCCCCTCTCACACACGTCAATGACAAAGAGGCAGAGGGCAGCAAAGGTAAGCAGAACATTGGTCTGAACTAGTCTGCCTTTTACAAAACATCCTCAATTGATGGAAGAAAACCATTACCCACCACAAGCCTTTAATCTGCAGGAATCATTAGGGTAGTTGTTGTAATTGATCTCCCATTAACATTTCAATGTTATCCCTGGAGGGATTTTACACAAAGTGCATGCCTTGTAACCAGAATCCACCTTAAAGTGGATTTCTAACTCTTCAATTTCAACTCCTTCAATTTGAAAATCCACATGAATCCATCCACATACATAGTAAATTTTAGACTGACTCATGTTATTGTAGATGAACTAATTTTACTTATCCCACCTTTAGGCTGAGATTTGATGACACATAACTGCACAATCTCCCTGCTGCTTCTTTTACATCGTCCATATGTTAGAATAAACAAAGTCACAGGTATTTGTTGTGCTTTTGTTCTCATTTGCCGTGTGATTCAGCTTCACATTGCAGCATTTTGTATTAAGGGTTATTAGATTAAATCTCTGCCTCATATCCTGTACAGCTGCAGTTTTAGGTCTTCTCTGTACAATAGGGCCCATGTGTGCTTGCTTGCTGTCCAAGCCGTGGGACTGAGGGAGTAAGAGAGGAAGAGTGGGTTCATGTCAACAGCCTGCAGCAGTTATAAGACATTTACTGTTGACTCAGTAATATGCATGTGTTGTTGCAAAAGCTTTACTCAAATCTACTCTTCCTACATTTTCTAATTGTGGAAAAATGTTGTTCATAACCCAACTGTTATTAAGCAAGTATACAGCTTGCACTCTTTCCTTGTCTATGCTTCCATGTCATGTACAATAGATGAGGAAGATGAAGGGGATCAATGTGGTCTGAGGAGATATGCTGTTTGTGGCAAAGTTACCCAATGCAGGAAGACATTAGGCAGCCACTGATGTGGTGGGAGGCCTGGCAGGCGTTTCCTCCATTCTAGTCAGGGGTGTGGAGATCTGTCTCAACCACAGTCATGTCCTCATTCTCAGATCGGAGTTTGGGGGGGGGGGTTGGAATACAATGGGAAGGATGCTTATAACTGGAGTTGGATGTTTAATGTTGATGTGCGTGGTTTACACTGGATAAATGGCTGTTTTACTTTGTTTCCTCTAGCATCTGCTGAATATCAGCCAAAGCCAGAGGTCAACCTGCCCAATAACAAGACAGAAAATGGACAGACCAACGTGAATGAAAGGTAAAACCATTTCTTTGACCGATTTCAAAGTTTCTTTGTGCTCATGGTGATGCAAGACCACCGTGAACAGTTTAAAACTTGTATGCCAGAAAAGTAAGCCAGGAGTTGACTACCAAATCAAGTTTGCAGGGTATTTGCATTGTAAACCTCAACGGAAAACACAGGAAGCCACACGATTCAGGCGCACAGTAAACAACTGTAATACTTTGAGAATGATTTGGTTTCTTGAAACGCTTACTCTTTGTATTTGGGCACACTTCTTGGGATAGATTTGAAAAGAAACCTGTAATTGGACGGCGGTGGAATGATTCATTCATTTGGTCACTATGAGTCACACTGACCTATCATAACTATATCCATATTGTGCTTTGTGTCTCCCCTCTGCAGCAGCCCCTCAGTCCAAGTGGTCAATGGGGTCCAGCCTACGAGACATGAAAATGGTCTATCCTCTAAAGGAGACACTTCCCACTTTGGAGATATCATCCATCTCACGAATCATGGCAACACCACCAACGGAGCACGCAATAAGTCTGACACCAGCATGGCCACCGAGCCGATCCTCACATTTGAAAGTGAGGAGTCATTCATGAAGAAGGCAGGCCCCATAAAGGCCCAGCATGTTGCAGGTACAATGCACAAAAATTAATACAAACCTTGTAAGGAAAACAAACATGATACAGTGAATTTCACAGCTGGTGAGCCTGTGCAGAAAAGGTCAGGTCACTCCTTGTAATGATGTGAGTTTGTGGAATGACCAGGAGACTACTGCCCAAGGATGTGCTAGAAGTATTTCTTGCCCGGGCCGGACTTTAGGAACTCACTGCTTTAGTTTTCTGTTCTGTTAAAAAAAATAAGCTATAGCATGTTTATTTTTATTTTTTTTTAATCTCTGGGTAGAGCCAGGCTAGCCGTTTCTCACTGTTGTGGCTGTAGCCTCACATTTGAGAATGGTATTGATCTTTTCACCTTACTTTCATCAAAAAGGCAAATTTCCCAAAATAACTAAATGCCTATTTTTTTATATATTTATATTTATTTTTAAATCTTAACTATATAATATCAAAAAAACAAAAAACAAACTCAAAGCCAACCAGTGCAGAGAAGCAAGAATAGGTGTAATATGCCCATGTCGCTTGTTTTTCAAAGGTCGGTATAGCTTAGAAAGGGCCTAATTTTGGCTTTAGGGTTTGAAGAAATGTCAGATAAGGCTTTGTTGATCCCAAGAGGGGTACATTCACAAAAACGTGTTTATTTGCCTAGAAAAGAACGATCAGAGAGAACTCCCGATTACAGACAGTATCCTAAATATTAGTAGCCAAACTGCAACATTTTGAGTTAAAAGATCTGGTTAAGCCAAGAGCACCAGTGTACTCAGTTTGTTTTTTGTCTGTCCCTAATAAAAAAGTAGCAGCTTTGAGCTTGTGTGCTTATTTGCATTGAATGGGTTTTACAGTTGGCCAAGTTCACAATACCCAAGAAAGACTAGAGTACACAGTACCATAGTTAGTGTTGTCCTTGGCACAAAGCGACCATAAACTGAAACTTGTACTTCATCTAATGTGCAGGTCGTCACCTCTGTGAGAGTGAGTACCCCCCTGAGGAGAGGATGGTGTGGCGTGGCGACTCCGGTTACACTCACAAAAGGGGTGGAGATGGGATATAGAAGAAATAGTTTAGGGCAGGGTATCTTTATACTGATGACAGCTTGTATTCAGCAGCCTTACTGACTTGGGCCTGCACCCAATGAGGAATTCCTAGAATGGCCAAGGCAATGAGGAGACCCTATCTACAAGTGCTTCACTGCCCGAGGTTAGAAACAGGATCTAGAGTAATTAAGCACAGATCACCCCAACGTCAGCAGCACCCTACTTTACCCTTCTTGCTAGAACTTAACCATCACCTGTTAGTCTGAAGACAAGCCAGTGGTCATAAATACTATGTAAAGCTAACAGACAACAACTAACTTTGCTAGCCCTCTGACACCTCTTGCCTTTTAACCCAGTCATTTAAAAAGTGAACATTCTCAGTATTCATATTCACTCTTTGCAGGACATTTATGATGAGGCAATATTGATATGCGAGACTGATTTAATGTTACAATGCAATTCCTTCGGAGGTCATGAGGCATACCTGCAGGGCTTATTTGAAAAAGGGTGACCCTTTTTTGGCTTTAAACGGGACTCTGTTTGGTCTATTAGCATTTGTTCAGTCTCACTATCTGCTGCCACTTAACCTCTTGCTCTCTGCCTCCCTCGCAGAAGTCCTGTGACATGTTCCAGTGTTGAATTGCTCGTGGCCATGGGCCTCTGACTCTTTCCCTGCCTGCCAACGCTCGCTTGGGGGAGCCCTGTGACCTGTGTCAATCAACATCCCTTTTCTAAGCCCCTAAAAGCAAACACACTTCTCTCTGAAGTTGAAGTGGGCCACAGAAGATGACGACCAAGCATCAGGACACAAGCAAAAGACAAACCAGGATTAGGTGTTGCTCCATGCAACACAGGTGCGTCAGTGTTAACATCTTTGTGGAGCCGAGTCCATGCACCTTAATACTCGTATCATCCTTTGTACATTACAGTACAGCTGAGTAATTATTACAATAAGCTGAAGTGTTTGTTTTCTTTGTTCTTTAGTTATTTAACTGAAAGAGAAATATAAAAAGACTGGGTACATTTTTGTGAATAATGTAAATTAAGTTTGTGTGATGGACGAAGGAGGGATGGGTCTATGGATTAAAGTTGTATGAAAGGGAGTCATTTTATGCTGCTCTGCTATGAGTAGACCTGAAGTGAAGCCCAGGTATTATACATCCTGGTCTGTATAAAGCTACCTGTAACAGTTTCTGTAAAATTAAACCGAGAATTCTGGAAAGACATTTGAAATGGAAGTTCACATGCAACAGCTTCTTACTGTGTGCAAACATACTGTCTGCCTCTACTGGATATAATGAGTTTGCAACCTTGATGATTAAGAAGCCAGAAGTCATCTAAGGTCAAATCCCTATAAACAGGGATTTACTCCACTATTTAACAGTTAAAGCTGTTTTTTTTTTCCACATGTGCAAGCATGACTCAGTTTTCTCTCATTTACAGCGAGATTCCATGGAGTCTTATGTATTTGAAATGCTGGTGCGTGTACATGCCATTATTTTGATGTGCGTTACAAGGTCAGTGAGATTATCTTAAATCGTATTAAAGACAAGCTGTCCAGTCTATGGTCTTTTCATCTATTTGTCTTGAATAACAGTGACTTTGATGAATTCAGGGATTTTGGAGAAGAAACTGATGCAGTGTTCTGAATTCAGCTTTCTTGAACATTCTCAGGTTCATTCATCTAAAACAGGCATAGAAATTGATCATTTGTTATTAATTTAACAGTTTGGGAATGTTTTGTACTTTGATTTGACTTGTTTACTCCTGAGGCTCAATAGTATTTTGACATTTAAGGGGAAATACCCATTCCCACTGAAAGTTGTAAAAGACAGAGTACACACTAACCACAGGAAAACAGATTTAGAGATGGTACCAGAGGACCTTACAGATGATATGCAAGGCAGGCGAGTTGGCTCAGCTGTACATTTCAGTTTGGGTCTCCTTTTACAAAATCCCTACAGGGGGTACATGCCACTCTATCTGATGCCCCCCTTTCACTGTATTCTGGTGGCCAGTGGAAGGCCTGGCACACTGTGGTTCCAGCTTTCTAGGCAGCTGAAGTGCATTACTAACAGGATTTATGTCCCCTTCTATCAAACACTAAGACATGTCACACTGATCATCATGTAGAACTTATGTGATTTAAATGACTTATAGCCGCTTGTGAAATATAACTGTGGTGGAGCCCAGTAGAAAAAGTTAGTTACAGTTTGTTAACTTGAACCTGTGCACAGATTGCCTTCTTACCTCCCAGTGGACTACATAAGATTTGATCAGCATACAGTGGAAAGCTCTGAGCAATGCATGCAAATAGTTTTATTTAAACTAACTAGCTTTTAGAGGGAAATTTTGTTTACCAAAATGAAATGGAAACCCGGAGAAGGAAAGGGGCAAGATTCATCTTTAAGGAGCCCCAACATGCATATGACGAAGATTTAAAGTAAGTGTGAATTGAATTTTTAAAGTTAACATCATGAAACATGGCAGTTTTCAATGGAAACATGATTCTTATAATGCTATTATTCCTGCCAATTATACCCCAATCAGCCAAATGCTGGCAACTTTAAGCTTTTGGTAAAGCACAAGACTTATTTTCCAGTTACAACTGCATAATTTCTTTGACATGTGAAATAATAATTATTATATAATAATTGAATCTGCTTTCTTGAGATGTTTTGACATTATTATCTCACTGGTTCATGCTACTGCAGTTGTCCACATGAGTCTGCTGTTAAAAGCTGTATTCATCAACCCCACCAGAGGGTGCAGAGCTGCAACATGGAGGTGATTGCCAACAAATTACATTTCTCTGCATTCATAACTACTCTTATACTTGATACAGCAGTGTCAACATGGAAATAACATACATAATAGTATACATAATAAAATAGAGCAGAAGTTCATTTAAAATGTCTATACTCTACTTTTGGACGAAGTTGATCTGCTAGTCAATCCCTGGTAATGTGTAGTACTTCTCAGAGGGGACTTGAGGATTAGTGGGCACTATTTTTAGGGAGGTGTCAGGGAGGCAGTACACAGTTACGTGCTGAGTAGTGCCAAGTCTCTGAATAAATTCAAACAGAATGAGGATTGGGGGGAAAAAAATAAAGCAGTAGAATTTGTGGATTGGGAGAGTGATCCAAAAGCCACCAATGGTCAGTGAATAAAGGAGCTTCGTGACTGTTAAGGTTAGTGACAGTGAGTCGGGTAGACCTGGAATAACCCGGCTAGTCAACATGACAGAGACGCACGCCCCCCCCCGCCCCCCCAGTGCTCATGCCACTTTGATTGATAGGTGTATTCTTTCCCCACACTGCAAGTGTGTTGATGGGTGAATTGGAGGTGTCACTATCCATGACTCTATTATTATTCTCCCCTGTATTGGGTGAGGATGGCCATATAAAAAAACAAAAAAAAACAAAAAACGAACACAACCTCACTGTTGTTTCAGAAATAAATCTCTGCACTCGAAGACTGTGAGGAATCTTGCAAATGTTTCAGAATGGCAAGTGTGCTTGCTCAGCCTCCGTTTTTAAGGTGAGAAGGGCCAGCACTGGGTCACACGACGGAGTCCCGCACTCCAGATAAGCCACACCACTGCTATGCGTACATCACAACCATCAAAGCCCATGGCAAACCTCTGTTCAGTGTTTATGCTCACACCCCCCTCCCCCTCTCACTGAACTCTCTTTATCTGCTCGGCAACAGGCTCTCTTCACACAGCTGCTCTCAGATGGCAGTACATTAATGAAAGGCCACAGAACGGCTGGCACTCAGCAAGCCTGTTTGTTGATCCCTGTCGGAACTGTCAGAGCAGGGCAACCTTTTAGCTGTTGCAATGGGAAATGGCAAGATTCAAGAGTGACCCCAATCAGACCCCTACAGGGCCTCTATACCTCAGAGCTGTCCTCTGAGATTGCACAGAGAACCCATCCTATCAGGGGTGGTCGCTGGGGGCAGGGAGCAGTTGAGTCTAAATAGGCAGCTGCTGGATCATTGTCACAACCATGTCGGATCTGGACACTCTTTGATGAAGTCCCTCCTGAGTGTAGGATGTTCCACCAAATCTCATTTAAGGAGTCTGACTTCAGTGGTACACCCTGTTTTCACATTATTGTGAGCTGAGGGCATGCAATGTTTCTTTTGGGTACATGTGAATAAAAGCACGCTCAGATAAAGTGGGAACAGATTTATTGGACATGTTGGCATTTACTTTATGGGCGCATCTGCTTGGTTGTTGATTGGTATTAAGATTCCTTTGTTAACAGCAATAGCATGAAGGCTTAAATAACTGGGTTGCTAACAAAGCCTGGATCTGCACCAGGACAACACTTTGTGAACACATAAACTAAGAAGATTTATGTACCATGGTCTGTTAAATTGCCTACCTCTTGTTACTAAACTTTTTCAGAAGATCAGAAAAACCGTGATACAAACACAAACACACATAGAAAGAAAAGACTAGGAGTCTACAGTCATGCTAGAGGCTTTATGAACCTGTACTTAAACAGAGCAGTGCTTCGAGCTAAATACTAATGTCAGTATGGTAACAAGCTCACAATGGTAACGCTACCATGTTAGTGTTTATCATCTTCACCGTCTAAGTGTGTTAGCCTGCTAACATTTGCTAATTAGCACTAAACAGCTTATGGGAATGTCATTAGTTTTGCAGGTATTTAGTCATAAAACAAATCTCCTGGTGGATTCATTCATTCTTTGTTCATCTTCTGCACACCATGCATGTACAACATTTCTATCCATCCAATAGTTGTTGAGACATTTCACTAAAAAACAAAATGTCCACCTCATGATGGTGCTAAAGTAAATGTCAGGGGATCACCAATGTCAGTATGCTTCACCCTCTGGGGACCATGTTTGTCTGTACAAAATGTCGGGACAATCCATCTAGTATACATGGGGATATTTCAGTCTGGACCAAACTGGTGGACCACCCGACCAACATTGCCATTTCTACAGACATGGTTAAGACTACTGTAGCTAGTGGCAAAAATGAGGCATAACAAACTTCACCCCAGAGGTTTCACATTTAGACAGCGACACGGTTTTAATGTCAAAGATCTGTTGTCTCTTCCTCTTGGAGCTGACAGTTTTACAGCTTCACCGCCAATCAGCACACAGAGCACAAGTGGCTTCAATTTTGCCAGCTTGCAAGCTTGGTTATTTTCAGTTCATGGGATAACTGAGAATTAATCCCTGTTGCGCACTTGCTGCCAGCTACAGCAAGGGCCTTTGGATCGCTCAGTTTTCTTTTTGTTCCATTTGGAAGGAAAACTCTAAAAACGGGGGCTCATGAGGAGTAACGGAAGCCAAATGTGTAAAGAAGAAAGGGGATCCTTCCTGGTCTCGGCCTGTTAGTATTGGCTCAGTAAAGTAGAACCCCTATAGATGATTTCTCTCACTGTTGGAATGGCACCACCTGCAGTGTCTAGTGTCTCTGAAGTAAATCTTCACCCAGCTAATATGTTGTGTCTTGGTTGCTGTGACACTGTGAAACATTACAACGACAGGAGCATTCAGACGAAGCCGCACTGACTCCCTTTTTTCCATTGGGAATTTCTGTCAGTCTGATTTAATGTTGGGAGATTTTCTCAAATTCAAAGTAGCTTTGGATTTAGACAGTGTTTTCTCACATTTTCTGCTCTACAAAAGTTACAACCCCCATAAAAAAACAAAAAAACATGAAATATTGTTTGAAAATAATCATTCAAAAGTTTTCCAAGTTTTTGTCAATTTAGTTAATGTGGCTAAAGTACTAAATCTGATTGTTCTTTATTTATCTTGCTGGGGAAAAACTACATGGAGGAATTAGCTGTTTTTTGCATACATCTATTGTCAAAGGGTTAATAAGGTGTTGCATGCGGGTGTCTGGATGTCTGTGTGTGTGTGTGTCTGTGTCTGTGTGTGAAAAAAACAAAGACAGAATGTGGGTTTATTTGTGTTTGCATTCCCACAATTTCGTATATATGTAAATGTATGTGTACGTGCACATACTGAATGTGTTATTTTAAGTGTTTGAGTGAGTGTGTGTATGTGTTAGTGTAGTAAGTGAGTGTGTTGCATGATACATGAGAGCAGTCGTCTGGGACCTTGGAGAGCAAAGAGTGATTAGAGAAAAGGGGGGCTGAAAGCAACGTCAACCCAGCGACAGTGGCCATGAGATGTCAACGCTGTCAGAGTGAAAGCATTCAGGTAGTGTCAGGAATGTTAAAAAAAAAACACAGTAACACATTTCTGTTTCACACCACACTGGGCCAGAGATAAACCTTGCTTGGACAAAGCAATGGGTGTGTGAAAAAGAGACTGAAAAAAAAAAGACCTTTACATAAACTGCCAAAAAAAAAAAAACACCGGGTGAGCAGTCACTGATGTTGAGGGGGATACACACCTGCATTTGACTTGGCTCTTGAACAGAGAAAACACTGTTTAATTAGCTAATACAACCAAATTCTTTCCATGCATTTTTCTTCCTCTTTGAAGCTCTGTTAATATTGTGTGACTGTTGGCTTTTCACCAGTTTGTTTTTGGAGTTTGTTCTCACA